TCAACAACAACAACCGGAATATATATCAAGCATTTTTTTGGCTTAACGACTCATTTGATTCCATTCCAACATTACTTTTCTAAATAACGAGACCATGAGAGACAACAACTCTTTCAACCGTTCTAGAATTAATGACTTTCTGTTTTGTCTGCAGAAATATAATTGATTGTGCAAATGCATGCAGCGCATGCTTACTCCTCTTTTCCTTTCAGTCCGATCTCTCGGGAATGCATGCACTCTTTTTTATAGACTTCTCATGAATAGAACAATTTTGAACGAGAAATAAATTGAAATTATTTTCTTCAGGATTGATGACCCCTCTTTTACTTCTCATTTATTTCTACTTTCTGTGCTCATGTCCCAATGTTCTCTTATAGTTAGCTCTAACAACGTTAAACGATAACTTTCTCTTTTATATTGGAGAGGATCAAAAATTTAACCACAAAATATCCATGGAAAGCATGAAGATAAGAATATAGGAAAAAAAGTGAGAAAAGGATATGCGCATTGAGAAATTGCAGAAAATTCCTCACTACAGTAAAGATAGATGGAAGCAATCGATTGAAAGTTACATCAAAAAATTAAATACTTTAATAAACAAAGAAGAAGAAATACATTATCGTATTTATTGCTGCTTAAGAAGGAAAAGCTAAGTATGCTAGTTGTTACGTTTTGAGTCATTGAAAAAGAAATGAAAATTGTAGCATTGAATGGGAGGAGTGACATCTAAAACAATTCATGCATCTGTCGTCTTTTATTCGAGAATTCGAGAATACTGCTAACGAATATGAGCAAATTATAAATAGGCCAGGAAGATCATAATTTCATTTCGTATACTTTAATAAGAGATCCAAAAGTAGTACATAAAATAAATAATGATTTTGAACATTTGAATTAATCTGTGTGTAAGAAAGCTTTTAAAACCCACATGTTTAGTCTACGGCAGATAAAACATTACGATGTTTAAAGCGTAAGTTTTAATTGTTTATAATGTTTGGTACATATGTCACAGCACAGCCATTAGCAACTTCAAGAGGACCGAAGAAACAAGAGAGCGTACACTTAAAGCAATTCGTATCGCCCACTACATTTCTGGTTAAGAATTGCATCTGATAAACATAGATATACCCTAGCATATTTTAAAGTAATCATTAAAATATTTGAGATAAATTTAATTGAGCGAAATATTCAGACACATAAAAAGTATGGTTCTTAGCAGCCAGACAATTTTATGGTGAGAATAAATTAAAATTAGGAGTTGAGTGGAACATTTGAGAAAGCATGATCACAGGAACAAAGTTGCAACAAACAAGGACATAAAGCTGCCTTTTCAATGACACAAGACGATGACGTCATGCTACTTTCATTTATATTATTCATTCTTTCAGGAAGAAACAAAACAATTTGGAGTAAATAGTTATATTTATGGTGAAAATTTTAATATAAACATATTGAACCTCTTGAATTAAGGACAACTTTTTAAAATTTCCTTAAGGTAATAGTGGTGACAAAGGGAAATAGATACAACCAGACACTATATTAGATTAATCAAGGATTAATTCGAGCGACCAAACTATCCTCTTTCAATAACGTTTTTCTCTACGAATAAGGCTTTTTCAATAGTTTTAGAATTGCTGATGCATCTTGGCCCCTAAATTTTATGCAACTAAAATGTCTAGAGAGACAAATACGAAATGCCTAGAAAGAAACGTTAATTATGTGATATGGAAAAGACAAGAGCTCTTCTCAACTCATTGCTTATTGTTCAGTAGAAATTTTTAATTAAATGCATCGTTATAGCCGGTCATTTTCTTCACAAAAACAAAGGGAATCATATTTTAATGAAAAGGGAGAAGGAACAATGCAGAAGATTTTGCCGGAATTAGTCCCAAATGACTGCAAAGACTGAAGTTTGTCCTTCACAATTAGGTAAGTAATTGATCTGATTGATTTATTGAACTGGAATTAAATCTGATCTACAACATAACTTCGTGCAAGAGATTTTGCCGGAATTCCCTTTAACGTTCTGAAGTTAGGAAGAGAAATTGCATAAATGCAATGCTTTGTTCTATCGACCAAATCCTATTAGCTACAAATGCCATCATTTTATAATCGAAATGCGTCGATGAAATCAGACAAACCATAATTTATAGCAAATAATTTTATAATGAGGTATGAGCTGATGAAAGATTTATGACCTCATCATTCAAGGTCGTAAAGATCCTCAACTCGTGATTGTTCAGAAGTCCTCCGCTACAGCAGACCGGTTTTCCCGCAACAATTATCATCATTAATTGCCATTGTATCATACTGTCTACTCACTTTTGCACTTAACAATCCTTCCTGTCAGCAATAGTCTCAAGGGAAGAAAGGTTTTGTGTCACTTTAAACATATGAATTGAACATCTGATTTTTACATCTGTGGTCTTCAGTTATTTAAAAAAAAATTTTTTTTTCAAGGAAAATTTAGGAAGGTTTGGAAATGAACTGAGTAATGATTAATAAATTTTTCGAGGACTGCTAAAGACCCTTGCAACATTTGTAACCGACATGAATCTGACTGATATTTCATGTTCACAAAGATTGGACATTCCATTTGCATTTCTTCGACCTTTTCACCCAAATCATTGACATTCTGATGAGTTGTCGTTTGTTTCTTCACGAAAAGTGGAAAGTGAAGATAAAACTTGAATGTTTGACGAGAGCAGCTGTCATATGAAAAGCATATAATGTACACTCAGTATCCTTCTTCTGCCCTTGACAAATCAAAAGAGATTAAAAAATATTCATCAACCACTCCTAATTTTTCTAAAGATTTCAGAAACATTAGAATATTGGAAGCGATTACCGGAAAAAAACAGAATGGAGATTGAAATAAAAAGAGATAAAGGTGAAATGGAAAGAATAAAAAATAAAATGAAAGCTTCAAAAAACGAAAGGAGTAAGATAAAATAGAAAACATTAACTATGCATTGGAAAAGCGCTCAAGTTTAGCAAAATTTAATTATATGTCCAATTTCAAATTCATTTCTTTCTAAAAGTGGCTAGGAACTGAACTCGGATAACTGCCAATATGTCGGGAAATTTCAAAAAAACACCTGGAAGAAAATCTATTTCTAAAATTTTTTTGAGAGCACAAATCAATAATTGCAACTTTATCAAATCATAAAATAAAGATATAAATCAACCGTTAAAGACTTTAATGAAGGAAAAGGAGGAAATAGCACATTTTTGTTTTTAAAAGCAATTTTTCATTGTATGAGAATAATGAATAGCACATTTATCATTGTCGTTTTATAATAATTATTTAATAATTTGTATTAACGATCAAATGTCAAATTTAAATCAGAATAGTATCAACTCGTTAGTTTTTTAAGATGTGAAAGATATCATATATCATACAAGTTATTTTTATTTTCAGCTTGGTAAATTCGAAATTGTAATTTATAGTATGTGATACAAAGGAGTAATTTGATCAGAAGTAAGAATGCTTTTGAGTAGCAGTTCAAGAAATTAGTATCTTTACGAACAAACAGAAATCTATGCCATTGTAGTTGATGGGTTTCTAGCATGCAAACACGGGTATGAGTAGCATGGAGGACAATCTATACTTGAATGTCATTTGGGATGAAGAAGGAAGTACGAAATGAAGAGACATTCACTACCATCAACCCGAAATGCAAATGTCTTGGGGATATTGAATGAACATTTGGATGTCTTAAGTAGCATCTAATTAAGGGAGCATCTAATAAATAGAGTAGTAAAATTAAGATTCATTCTAGGATATTCATTTCGTCTACGCCAATTCGTTCATTCACACCACTACTCGTTTTTCCTGACTTGGCTAAATGTGCAGTGAAGTATGTATCTTCGAAATACAGGAAAATAGAAGAAAACTGCTTTGAAGGGACACAATTTTTGAAGAATGGAAGGAAAGGATGTGGTTTATAGGAATTTCTCAAAATGGATGACAAATTTGAAACTCATTCATTTTGAGACCTCCTATAAACCACATCCTTTTAACCCAATCTTCATCTTCACCAATTAATCCAGGCAACTTACTAAGTGTAGATTGTTTTAGTAGTCATTTAAAAAGAATAAATATACCAATTGCACTGATAGCAAAATGACTGAGAAAATAAAGTTTCAATTTGCTGTAAACTAGAACCAAATAGTTGACACAAAGATGAGCGCTAAAATGCTAGTTAGTCAAGAATGTAAGAATACGGTAAGTTAAATGAAAAAGTTATGTGCATGCAGAAAGTTTTAGATTATTGCACAGGTAATGATTATTGAAAGCAAAGTAAGCAAGACTATTTCATGAATTATTCCAATTAATGTGAGTCATTCGAGCAGATTAATCACTGTTAATATCAACAACATGTAACTAGCATCATCGATCTTTACATGATATATACAGAATGACAACGAACAAAATATATGAAAGAAAAGTGGTTGAATACTTTCTTGATTGATGCTGTAGTACTGTCTCAGGTGAGTGAGAAGAAATCGGTAAAGCTGTGATAACATGTTACGAAGGTTATCAATAAATAATTCGAATTCAAAATAACTGCTGAAAGAGACGTATTATCTTTGCCTCTTTCAGTAGTAGCAATTAAAAAAAATGGTTGTGACAAGGAAACATTAACTTTCTATCATTCTGAAAACTGTGTAATGAGTGAGTGCGCTTATCAGGTATATCGAGATGGAGGTAAAGTGCAAATGGACGCATAAAAGCAGCACTGCACAGAAGAAAGCATACACAGAGCTTGCAATCTTCACTACCTACTTATCTCGTCGTATATGAGAGATGCTTCTTTGGAGGTCACAACCTCTGGCGAATTTTTTTCCTAACAGTCGCCCCACATTGCCTATTGTTTTACTGACTTCAGGTCACGGAGTTGACCTATCTCTTATATCTTGCTAATGCTATGCTTTTCCTTCACAAAACTTCGCGTTCATATCACTTCATATTATCTTCACAATATCGTATGCCCGACTTATTGCATATATTTACGGCTGCAAATTGCAGTGACATTCGAATTCCGATTTATTGATACTGTGATATACAGTGGGTCATGAAGGAAAGTTGACAAAGAAATTCCAGCAGGAGGTATCCAATTGAGGATGTTCATGAGAGGTTCGTGACTGTGGCCTGAAAGGATCCTGGAATAAGGCCAAAAGCAGATGGTTTCTAGATCAGTGGGAAACAAGAAATTAACTGACATAGTGTATTGCGCATTTGTATACATATTGAAAATTGAATCAACAACGGATGGGTGGGATAGACCTTTGCATAAAGCCTGATAGTAGTGATATAGCGCGACTTCCTTAAAGTTAGGCGACGCGTCGCGTATGTCTGGTGACTCATCTTTTTTTGCTTTGAGGACAAGGGTGGGGGTTTGCTTGTAGTGGGTACTAATCGTTTGTGAGCAAATCATGGGTGCATTGTACGTTCCCATGAATAGTTCGTCTTGGCGCTGCTTGTAGGTAAAAGGTCCCTTCAAGCAGCCCTGACAGTTCCATTGTTTCGTAGGGGATTTATGGTAATTTGTCAAAATGTGTTCTTCCTTGTTCTTCATTGATCGAGTGTTTTTGATATGCGTTACGTTATGTGCGTCGTGAACTGCACTCACCCTTTTTCTGAATGTTCGCGCATGTCATCTAATGGCCATACGTTCATGTGCTTCGCGCACGTCTCTTTTATACTATTCCAGGGGTTGCCAGATTCGTTCAAAAGGTGCATCGGTCCGTCGTTTTCAGAGGCTTTTCTTACATCAGCAAGCTGTCACTTTCATTCGTTTTGTGTGTGTCGCTTTATAAACCGTAACTTTCATCTGTCACAGCGATGAAGAAGAAAGGAGCTCGTGGTCGTCCGCGAAAGCAGCAACAAGTTGCTGCATCTGTTATGTCTGCGGATGATGCAGAACAAGCTTTGGCGCCAGCAGCTGGAGAAGATAATGCAAACGACGAAACAATTGACATTACAACTGGACAAGTTCGGATTTTGGCTTTTATTTAACCTTTAAGTTTGCTTCCAAGTCTCACTTTCTAAGTAAGCTATCAATGTTGAACCATTTTAATCGTTAAACTTTCGTTCTTTTCTCAGTTTCGGTAATCTTAATCGAGTGTCCTCATTTTTCAATAATTCTTTGTGAATTTTGATTGTTAAATAATAGAGTGCATCCTTCATGCTTGCTTATTAGTTAAGAAGCGAAAGATTCAGGTGTTTGATGACGTTAAAATAAATTAGGTTTTTTTTTTTTTTTTTTTTTTTTTTAATAACAGACGTAATGAACTTGCGTGGTCAACTTAAGATATGGTTGATGTCATCATATAGAGTTGGTGTAGTATTTGCTTCTCTTCCGCATGTTTGACTTAAGTTGCTAATATGTTTAAGAATATGGTGTAGCGTAAGTTTTTATACTATCAAGTAATCGAGGAGTCGAGGAGTGTTCTTTCAAAAGTATCATTGGATTCTTCGGCTCATAGATTACTTTTCAGTTCCTTTCTGCTTGTATGATTTTAAATTGCTACCAGTTTCACAGGATACTTACTCCTCTGTTCAAATGTTACTGCATCAATATTTTACATATGGTTGTATAATTGAGTAAGAAAATTTAAGATCTTGTGCAAAAATATGTGTTGACAAAAGTAGTTGACGCATCAGTCCATTCACTCTTCGATTTTTCTTGAATGGGATTTCGACTGCTAATCAAAAAGCATGCTTGAAGGTTAAAATCAATGTCCAGTAATGTTCGCTGCTTCGCATGCCAATGTTTTTTTCTATGTTATTAACTTTGCTCATTTTAAAAAATGATGCGTTTCTTGTCAAACTTTTTTATGTAAATGAGTGTATCTGACAGTCTTCTTCAGATCACTAGATAAGATTATCCTCAAGTTCAGCTGCGATTGTAACAAAATTTTATCTTCTGTTCGCAGATAGGAATTCTTTCAGGAAGGAAAAGGTGGTGAAGATAATACCATGACTGAAGTGAAAATGGAAACATCTGCAGATGTAAGTTTTTATTTTACTAGCTACTGTAATCTGTTTATAGAGAAGTAAACCTTTTTCTTTTTGTTATGCAACGTGTTATAACTGCTTTTTGATTTCTTCAGGAAACTTTGGATGAAGAGCCTGAAATGCAGGAAGAACAGGTGCAGGAAGAGGAACAAGAACAAGAGCAAGAAGATGAGGAAGAAGAAGAAGAAGCCACAACGGCTAATGGTGATGAAGTGAAGAAGGAAGATTCTGACATTAAGATGGAGACGGCAAGTGTGGTTGAGGCATCTGGAGATGTAAGCTATTTTTCAGAGAGCATTTTTTGTGAGATCAACATTCTTTCAGGAAGTGCTTGTGGATGTTATGCAGATGATTAAAGAATGTGAGATTTTACTTTTGGTGAGTTTCTCAATGCCGTATTATTTGTGAGGAGGTGAATATGCACATTTCAGGGTGAGACGGAAGATGCTCATGCTTTATTAGCGGAAATTGAAGAAGCGGAATTTGTTGAGAATGAAGTTTACAAGAGTTTGAGGGCACAGAGTGTGAAACCAAAGGTGGCTGTAGCCCTGATTGAATTATATGAAGCAACTGATATGTCTCCACAAGAACTTGACGATCGTGCAATTGAGATGCTTCGCTCCCTTCCACTTGACCATGCATTATTTATCATTAAAGAGGTATAAAGAATATGTTCGTTAATTTTAGAACAAATAATTTTACCTTATAATAGGATATCATCAGAATTAGGATATTAATTTAATATTTAAGTTTTGAAAAATATTTTGGGTATATATTGTATGTTCGAAATAATCAAGTTTTTTTGTCGACGTTTGAAATAAGTTTTAAAAAAATTACTTCAGGTAAAGGAGTCGAAGCTCATGGGTGTTCAAAACAAAGCTCAGTTTTTAATGTCAGTTATGCGCAATTTTCGTGATAAAGCTCGACAACTTGGAGCAAATGTTGCTCTCTCGCAAAAATTAGTGAATGGACCTTCGGTGGAAAAAATCAAAGAAATTTTGGATCGAACAGGATACAATCTGGAAGTGACTATCGGTCAGCGAAAATACGGTGGGCCACCACCAGATTGGGATGGACCAGCAGCAGGTCCACAGGGATCCGGACATGAGGTATTTATTTTAAATATAAGTTGGGAAGAAAACAAGATCGTTTGACAGACATATCACTTTTTTTTTTTTTTGAGAAAAGAAAAAAAAATAGTGTGGTCTTGAAGTTTATGTTTTTTTTTTTATTTATTTATTTCTATTTCAGATTTATATTGGCAAGATTCCGAAAGAAGTTTACGAGGACACTTTGATAACGCTTTTCGAAGATATGGGAAAAATTTGGGATCTTCGGCTTATGATGGATCCACTCACGGGAAGAAATCGCGGCTACGCTTTTCTAACGTATTGCGACAAGACAGCAGCTTATGAAGCTGCAAAAAAGGTAACAGTGCTTTTACGATCTTACAGTTGGCTGCTGCAGCACTTGATTTTGGAAATTAAGAGATGAATAAATATGCATAAGGTTTGTTTATATAGAAGCAAAATAATGATAAGACGTGCAATTCGTTTACAATTTTTATTAATTTATTTATTTTTTTGTCTTGTAGAGGTAACACTGCACAAGTCTGTATGTCCTTTCGCAGTGATTGTAGAAAGTAAACATTTTAAAATTAGCAGCAGCAGCCAACATTTTGTTTTCTCTATTCATTCACTGTGCCTATGTTTTTTATCAGTTATGTGTACGCAGATTATCTTGAGACTTTGTGAAGCAAAGTTATTACCATGACTTCAATTTTGATTACCTCGTCGTTGTGCATATGGCAGAATTATTTGTTGATCGATAGAAGTGCATGTTGAAGATTTTTGAGCCTTTCATCCTGGATGGTTTAGATTCAGTAATTATTCTTCCCGTACTTACGGTATTGATTTAGGTAAAGTTACAGGTATCAACTTAAAAATTGCAGTGCCCGTATTAAGACTATCCGTATATACTTGCAAGACTGTTCGTATATATATATATATATATATATATATGGTTTACAGTAGTGGGCTAGTTATATATATATATATATATATCATGTTGCCTTTTATAGTTTTACAGTAGTGGGCTAGTTATAATCAGCCTTTCGAAAAGAATCTTTGTTGCAATGAAATTTCTTGTTGGCTTTAACATAGCTGGCTTTAATTTTATTATTTAGATAGCTTGGGTATGCATCCTTTATTTTCCGACTTGTCTAGGGATTCTGAAATATGTCCTAGTATGCATTAATTAATTGTTAATATACTGTTTAATTATACTGTCACAGTAAAGTTGAATTTTTGAGAAGCTGTAATTTAATAGAAAACGTTGCCTTGGCCAGAATTAATGTTGGTACTGCTGTTTGCCGACCTAGTAACTGGCTTCTTAGAAAAATAAAGGTGTTGATTTAATTTATCAAATATCCTTTATGAAAAGTAGACCATTGTCTCATCCATTTCATAAATCAAGGAAAGTTGCAAATGACTATGGTCCTAGGATGATGAAAATGTATGAAACTGAGAAAAGCTCCTAGGGATTAATGGCTAACACGAAGTATTGAACCGTTTTTAAGTAATTTACCGTATTTCTTTATAGTTTTATTCGTCCTCATTGCAGTTTGTTATTTATCACATACACACACTCTGTTTGTCTGTCTCTCCTTCATCTGTTCTCTCTCGTCTCTGTCTTTCGCCATGACCACGTGAGACCTTTGGGTGGGATAAAAGTTTGAAAGCTCATTTTGGAAATAAAATTTTGAGCACTTTCTGGAAAATAATGCTGAATTTTTAGAAAAAAAAAAGAGAAATTTGGCAAAAAACAGCTGCATTTGCTCTGATCTCTGTTTCTAGTTTGATGGTTACGAAATAATGCCCGGAAAAAATCTGAAAGTGAACGTGAGCGTTGCCAACACACGACTATTTATTGGGAATATTCCAAAATCGAAGTCAAAAGAGGAAATTCTTGCGGAATTTAAAGAACACACAGGTAAATTTTGGCCCAAAAAGTGGTACCAAATCTCGTTCGCACACGTTTTTAATAGGTGGCTTTTTTCGTGGGAAGGATTTTTTGGTTTTGGAGAAGCTGATGGTGTTGTGTCCGTTCCTTACCTATAGTATCTGTGCGATACAACCGGGTTCATTACTTTTCGATCATCCTGACCTTCTTGAAGACCGCTTTTGTACATCTTCGGGTAAGTTTCTCCTTTTTTCATTCTTTTCGTATTGTTGCAGGTAAGCAGTTCTCCACTGTCTCATTTTTCGTAGGAAATTTTCCTCCATAATCTGATTTATTATTATCTTAACCAAGAAATTTTCAGAGGGCGTGACGGACTGCATAATTTATTCAAGTCCTGACGCAGGAGAAAGCCGCAAGAATCGTGGCTTCTGTTTTCTTGATTTCTGTGATCACAAAACCGCATCAGATGCTAAGCGCAAGATTCATGCTGGAAAGGTAGTATTTTTTGAATTAAATTATTTCTGGTAATTTCACCTGGTTAGTATTTTAGTATTAAGGATTGGTACTTTGAGATTTCAGTTATGGTGATAAATTAGG